GGTTGGGGGGCAGGAGGGAGGGGGGTAAGAGATCAACCGAAGGACTTTTATGCATGCATATGAGCATAACCAATGGACATAAGACACTGGGGGGTAGGGGAAGCCGGGGAATTGTCAAGGGCGGGGAAAAAAAGGACACATATGTAATACCCTTTGTAGTACTTTAAGCAATAATAAAAAAAAAGGATAAAAAAAATAATCCTAAAATTTTCTTAAGGAAAAAAAAAAAATGGGCAGAGACCTGAATAGACATTTCTCCAGAGAAGACATACAGATGGCCAACAGGTACATGACAAGGTGCTCAACATCACTAATGACCAGGGAAATGCAAATCAGACCACAGTGAGCTATCACCTCACACCTGTTAGAATGGCTGTGATAAAAAAGACAAGAAACAACAAGTGTTGGTGAGAACATGGAGAAGAGGGAACCCTCCTACACTGTTGGTGGGAATGGGAATTGGTGTAGCTACTATGAAAAACAGTATGGAGGTTCCTCAAAAAATTAAAAATAGAACTACCATGTAATCCAGCTATTCTGTTTCTGGGTATTCATTTGAAGAAAAAGAAAACACTAATTTAAAAAGATATGTATATTCCTTATACATGCTCATTGCAGCATTATTTACAACAGCCAAGATACAGGAACAACCTACATATTCATCAATGAATAAATGGATAAAGAAAATTATCCTATCTAATAAAAGGGTAATATGCAAATTAACCATCACTCCGTCACAAAGATGGCGGCGTTCATAGCCACATGATGGCGGTGCCCAGTTCTCTCAGCCCTGCCGGAGTCCCCCAGTCCCGGGGGCGGGGCGTGGCTGTTGAGAGCAGGCAGTGTGAGCAGCCTGGAGGAATGCTTGCTTCGTTGCTGCAGCGTTCCACCCTGGCTGCGGGCAGTGGGCACGGAGTGGCTGGGGTGGGGAGGGGGGGAAACACTTGCCCCTGGTGATGAGGCAAGCATTCTGTGCCCGGCCACAGAGGGCCTCTGGCCAGGCCGGGCACGGAACGCTTGCATCTTCGCAGGCTGGGCTGAGGGACACCCCCGTGCACTAATTTTGTGCACTGGGCCTCTAGTATCTATAAAATATATATTCACACAGATATACACACGATACAAACAATGGAATATTATTCAGCCATAAAAAATAAAATCTTGCCAAAGGGATGAATATTGAGGGTGTTATGATAAGTGAAATAAGTCAGACAGAAAAAAGATAAATACTATATAATCTCACTTATATGTGAACTCCATAAAACAACAAAAAACCCCGAAATAAATCCCGAAGCTTATGTACCTAGAGAACAGACTGGTGGTTGTTGAGGGGTCTGGGGGTTTTGGGGGGAAAGTGGAAGAATATATGAAGGGGATCAAAAGGTACACATTTCCATTTACATAATAAAAAAGTCCCAGAATGTAATATACAGCATGGAGACTATTGCATATTTGAAAGTAGACAGGAGAGTAGAACTTGAAAGTTCTCATCAGGAGAAATGAAATTTGTAATTATGTATGATGATGGATGTTAATTGGACTTATTGTGGTGACCATTTTGCAATATACACAAATATAGAATCATCACACTGTATACTAGAAACTAATGCAAGTTATATAAATTATACTGCAATTTTTTTAAAGCAGGAAGAGCAATGTAGAAAGTACTAAAGTAGAAAACATTTCCTGTCTCTCAATGTCTCCCTCTTGATCTGCCATGGTGGTGTTTACTTGCGACTGTGGTCCTTAAGGCGTTGGCATACTTGGAAGGAGGGCGTGTAGACTCTCTAGTGCCCAGGATCCTGTCCGGTGACTGGGCGCATGCACACACCCTACCAGCAAAGGATTTCCACTGCCTGCCAGTGGTGGGCCCACCTGTTGAGAATAGGAAGTCCAAGGGGGCATTTCCCCTTTCCCTGGTCCCCACAACCCAAGGAACCTGGCAACCCTTAGGGGATTGCAGTCTCCTTTCTGGGAATACTCAGAACAGGACAGGTCTTCTCTGGACCTCGCATGCTCTACTGTTCTATCACACTTCACTTACAGAGCACAAATTCAAAGAGAAAATGAAGAATATGAAGATGACAACCACCAGCATTAAACTCCAAGCAGGGAAAGTACTGCACAAACCTAAGACTGCCTTCTATTGGGAGACCTGAGCCAGACAGCCTAGGCTCACTCCTGCTCTGCCCTTATCACCTAGGGATCCCGGGCAAGTTGCTTTAAGCTCCTGAGCCTCAGTTTCCTCATCTGGAAAATGGGCATGACAATGATATTTGCCTCATAAAGTCATAAGGACTCAACGGTTTAATATACACAAAGTGCTGCATCCCTCAGGAGGATAAGCATATGTGTCAACTGTTGTTAAGGATTTTGTCCTAACTTTGGAACCATCCATGATCACTGCAATCTTTGGTTTGTCACCCATTGTGTTTTTCACTGTGGTCCAAGTTACTTTTGAAGACACAGTAACAGGAGGGGACAATAATCCTCAAAGTTGGCTTTAATTTCTGACTGGGTTATTTCCATGCTGAAAAATCTTCGAAAACTGCTGAGCATCTGGGTCAGCTTCCAGATGTATTTCCAGCCTCCCGTCCTTGCACTGCCTTTCTCGCGCCTGCGCTTCCCTGGTTTACCCGTTCCCCTCTTTCGGTGCCGCTTCATCCCTGACCCTCTGATCGCAGTCACGTGCCACATAATGACATTTGTCAGTGATGGACTGCCTATACGACAGTGGTCCCATGAGACTGTAACGGAGCCCGGCCGGTGTGCTCAGTGGACTGAGTGTCATCCCATGCACCAAGAGGTTGCTAGTTTGATTCCTGGCCAGGGCACATGCTTGGTTGTGGGTTCGATCCCCAGTAGGGGGCGTGCAGGAGGCAGCAGATCAATGTTTCTATCTTCCTCTCTCTCTCAAATCAATAAAAACATATTAAAATTTAAAAAAAAATCATAATGGAGCTGAAACATTCCTATTGCTTTGTGATTCTGTGGCCGTCCTAACATCATAGCGCCATGCATCACTCACGTGTTTGCGGTGAGGCGGAGCAAACCAAGCAGCTGCACTGCCTGTCGTATGACAGTACGGCACATACAACTATGCACAGTCCGTAATACTTGATAAGGATAACACACAACTATGTTACTGATCTATGTATTTGCTATACTTTTTATCATTATTTGTGTATTCTTGATACTTATTAAAATTTTTTTTCTGTACAATAGTATGCCGTCTTATGTTAGCAACAGCCTCATACGTCTCCTGTGTACCTGCCTCTTTTCTCTTGTGCTTGATTTAATGTCATGTTGTTTTCTACAGTAACATGCTCTGCAGGCTGGAAGCCCAAGAGCAATAGCCTATCCCAAACAGCCTATCCCATACAGCCTATCCCATACAGCCTATCCCACACAGCCTATCCCATACAGCCTAACCCATACAGCCTATCCCATACAGCCTATCCCATACAGCCTATCTCATACAGCCTATCTCATACAGCCTAGGTGAGTAGGAGGTTAGACCATCTAGGTTTGTGTAACTGCACTCCGTGAGGTTTGATCAAACACAAAATCACCAACCATGCACTTCTCAGAGCAAATCCCAGTCATTAAAGGGCACATGACTGTCCTCAAATCCCTCCTCCTCATGGCCCTGTCCCAGCCCCTCTCCACCACCAAGCTCCTGATCAACACGATGACGCTGGTGCTCCTCCCACAGGGCCGTCCTCCCACCGCCTGGCTCCGTGCACTTGTCTTCAGGCTTCACCCAGTCACAGCCTTACGTTTTGCTGGCTCCTCAGTCAGTGAGTGGCCCCACGGTTCATGTCACTGCACCCCTCCCAGCAAAGAATGCGGTTCACCAACCAGTGGTTACCTTTCTACAGGCCCAGCTGGCCTCGCACACACTTGATAAAGACTTCCTGTATGCCTACTTCAACACGCAGCGGACAGGGCTTCGTTACCAGAGCTGTAAAATGGGAATTATAATGGTACTCCTGCACTGGGTGGCTTTAAGGGTTTAACTGAGTGACTGTATGTCAACCATTTACGACAGCATCGGGCATGTGTCAAGTGCCATGTGAATGTCTGCTGAGTGAAGACACACAGAACTGCTGCTGCCTCCCATTCCAGACCAGCAGCTGCTTGTGGTGTCACCTCACCCACAAGTTAAGGGCAGCCCTCCTTCCCCAGTCCCGCAGCCCCATGCCTACCTTGCGTTTCCTCTTGGATTTGGGCAAAGCCTTTTCTACGGGTGTGTCGGATGGGTGGCTTGGAGGTGCGCTCTCAGCGTCCTTGGCTGCAGGCGCGCTGAGGGCTGCGGCCTCCTGGGGCAAGTGTTCTGGGATCCTGGACAGGAGGGTCAGGTCAATTTTGACCCAGAGAGACCTGACCTCGTCACTGTCCTTCAGCGGGGAGAGAAGTTCGTTGCGGCCGAAGGGAACCAGCGTGTAGAACTGCTCCTCCAGCTCCTTGGCGATGTCGCTGGTGGTCCTGGCGTTGATGGAGCCCACGGGTGCGCGGGGCCCGCCGCCGCTGCTGATGCTGCCGGCGGCCTCCTTGAGCCTCTGGTCACTCGCAGAGGCGGCGGCCACGACCGGCGCTTTGGCCAGAGGGTACTCCTCCTGCTCCGACTCCAGGTCAGAGTCCGAGGAGGAGGACGAAGATGAGGACTCTGTCTCGATGAACTCCTTGGACTTGGGGACGATCCTGCTCAGGCCCCGCGTGCGGCGCTTCTCGCAGGTGACCGAGGCGCGCAGCTCCTTGCGGTGGCCCGTCCTGCTGTTGGCACAGGGCCTGGCTTTGGTGGGCTCCGGAGGGATGGGAGT